ACAATAGAGACTATGAGACTAAAAAGAGGAATCATACTCAATACTCATATTGAGCATAGGTCTAAGAAGCACCTCCTCTCTAGAAGCCTCCTCTAGCCTCCTAACCTTGGACCTAGTTAAAGGCCCAATGGTCTTCAAGTGTGAGCCTCCTTGGATCAACCTTCACCCTTCTTGGTCTTACCTCTTACAAAGGGATCCTTGGGGATTAGATTTCCATCATATGTGTTGTTCCATTCTTTGTTGTGTATGTTTCTATGCTTAATGCTTGCTTTGGATTGATCACCCTTTGCATGATTTAAGGTTCCATTGAGTATTGGGAAATACCATTGGAACTAGTTATGAAACATATGCCTAGTGGGGATTGTATCTAGGGATAGAGCTTGACCCATTAGTAGTCTTAAACCCTAATCTATAATGCGGGTGTAGGTATTGGATACTCAAGGGTGTGATATTCAATATCCGCACCTAGGCTCTTTCTCTAAGGGATTAGGTTTGAGTAAATTTATGGTTGACTAAGCAATGGATGTAACAAGAGATTCAGGATTCATTAGTGTAACGTTTGGTGAAATCTAACCCCCAAAACCTCACAATACCATTATACCATTTCTTACCTTTTCCATTCTTAATCAATTGTTTTTGTAGTTTAACATTCCAATAGTCATAACCTTGAATTCACATGACAAACTATGAAATTGGAATTATTCTTTAGTCACGAATAGTCAATAAATGCTTATGTTACCTTCTAATCCTTGTGGATACGATAATTTTACTACTTGAATGGCCGGTATACTTGCCGTGTTTGAGACCGTTAATAGAATTAAACTGATTTACAATTATAAACAAAAGTGTTTCAACGGAAATCTCAACAGACGCAAACTCTTCCTAATTGATAAATCATGTTGAAAACTTTGTCTAATGTCTATTCTTTATTGAAACCATTTTTCAGATGAAGACGCAAAGTTTGTTTAACAAATATGTTACACTGAAATGTCTTATTTACTGCTCATCCCTATATGAAACTATCTTGAAAAGGAAGATGCAAGAACCTTAATCATTATTGTTATATGAAACATTCTCCTCAACAGACGATAAATCTTTCAGACGCAGTACTCTTGTGTTAAGCAAACTCTACATAACCGTCTAGTATTCAAAAGTGCATTAGACGAAGAACATTACTCTTGTGAAAATGATTATAAAATTCCTTTGTACTAACACACACATATTCAACCCCCCCCCCCTTTTCTATGTGTTTCATGTCTAACTTCAAATAACAATGACCAAAAACTTGAAACACTAGAGCCTTTTACTCCAAATCCTATTTTGAAAAGGTTTTCTCAACCTCATATACCTAACAGAAAATACCCTAATTATATATTGTTAACTGATGAAAGGGAGCCTAAAAACTACAAAAAAAAACATGTCAGACTACATATGTCTATAACTAGGAGCTTGTGATGGAAGATGAGATAAAGTCTTTAATATCCAATTAGATGTGGGAACTACTAGAGTTACCTATTGGGAAAAAGAAACTTCACAACAAATGAGTGTATCAAGTGAAAAATGATCATGATGGTTCCAAGAGATACAAAGTCTGACTAGTTGTCAAAGGATTTTAACAAAATGAAGGAGTTGACTACATTGAAATCTTTATTCTAGTTGTGAAGCTCAATACTATCAGGTCTATCTTAAGTATTGTTGCCAGAAAAAGGCTCTCCCTTGATTAATTGAATGTGAAGATTGCATTTTTTTCATGGAGACTTAGATGAGGAGATTTACATGCATCAACTTGAAGGTTTCTTAAAAGAAAGGAAAAAGAATATGGTGCACAGATTAAAGAAAAACTTGTATGGCTTGAAACAAGCTTCAAGACATGTACAGTGGTACAAGAAGTTTAAAAGCTTCATGCACAAGGAAGGTTTCCAGAAGTGCAATGCCAACCGCTGTTGTTACTTCAAGAGATATAAGTATAATTATATCAGTTTGCTAATTTATGTCAATGATATGTTAGTAGTTGGTTTAGATATAGATGACATCATAAGCTTGAAGCAATAATTATCAAAAGAATTTGACATGAAAGACTAAAGTCAAGAAAAAATGATCGTCAAAATGCAAATCATGATAAATAAGGAAAGAGTTATGTTGCACTCATCTCTAGTAGAGTACATTGACCATGTTTTGCAAAGATTCAACATGGGTGATGCCAAGCCAGTTAGCACACCTTTAGCCAATCATTTTCATCTATCCAAGGATCAATCCCCTCAGATGGAGGAGGAAAAAGAGTTCATGACTAAGATTTTGTATGCTTCAACCATCGAAAGCTTGATGTACACGATGGTTTGTACGAAGCCATACATTGTTCATGCAATGAGAGTTGTTAGAAGATTTATCTAAAATCCAAGTAAAGCTCATTGGAAAGCAGATAAGTATATTTTCAAGTATTTGTGAGGCACTATAGTAAAGTATTTGTACTTTAGTAAAGGAAAAACAAGGCTATGTAGATGCAGACTTTGGAGGTGAAGTTGATCGCCACAAAAGTACCACTAGTTACATAATTATTGGTATTACAACTATTAGTTGGATGTCGCAAATATAGAAGATTATTTCTTTATCCACTATAGAGGTTGAGTACATAGTAGTAATAGAAGCTAGTAAAGAATTGATATGCCTTCAAGGAATATTAATAGAGCCATTCTTCATTGAGGAAATTAGTGTTTTGCATAATGATAATTAGAGTGTTATACATCTAACAAAGAATCCAGCATTTCATTATAAAACCAAGCACTTTGGTATCCAATATCACTTCATCAGATCTTTACTTGAGGATGGGGTGCTAACATTGAGAAAGATTCTAAGAAATTAGAAGCCAATAGACATGTTGACAAATTGAAATCAGTCTTCAAGTGAAAATACTTGTACTTGGTTTGTGAATTTATTGTTTGAAAATATATATTTGATCCTTTTTCAATAATTTATCCACAACAGCTTAGAGACATAGGCACAATTAACCTAACTATGCTATCAATTTTGTATGTTATTATTCCACATTTATTTAGTTTCTTGCAAGTTTAATTATAAGAAATTTTGCATAACTTCTCAACAAGTTTGGTCTGACCTAACCTTTTCTCATCTCTACCAATCAAAGACTAATTTTGTTTGTGGTAATGTGATTGTTGTCACTTTGAAGAATTTTCGCGTATAGCAGGAATTGAACACAAAATTTGTTGTTAAATAGACTTTCCCCATAATGAGTGTCTTGAGCCACTACGTCAACCCATCAAGTTACTTATGTTTTATAATTATTTTTAGACTGAATTATACTTTTAGTCTTTATTTATGCCAATTTGCAATTTTAGTACCTTAATTTGAAATATAGATGTTTGGTTCACCTATTTTTAGAAAATAAATTTTGGTTTTATCTTTAATTTGATTTTTGTTAAACGTTAAATTTTAACGTTGCTCGAGTCACTACTTAAGTGATATAATATTGAGTGATGTGATATATAAGGATAAAAGAATAACATACAAAAGATCTTCGTGTGTATTTATTTTATCGAATTATTGGTTTTTATTTTATTAATAAATTTATTTTGTATTTTTTTTTTAAATATCTTTGAATGTCATATTACTAAATGTCACATCACTTAAACATGAATAAACATTAAAGTTTAACAATTAATGAATATCAATTTGATAAGAGAATCAAAAAAATTTATTTTTAAAATAGAAGAACTAAATGTCTCTATTTTAAAATATAAGAAGCAAAATTATGAATTGTCAATAATAGAAGAACTAAAAATGCAATTTATTTTTATGATCTTTTGTAGAAAAATTTAAATAGTTAAATATATTTTTTATGGACTTAATTTTTCATATATCCATATAAAAAAGTAATTCCAAAATTTAATAATTTTACTATATAATAATTTATAATTGAAAATTGAGTAAAACACTTCTATGATTAGAATTTAATTAATGTCTAATTTCATATAAATCAAAAGGTTTTTTCATAAATTATACTTTTGAGTGTATTGAAATAAGTTAAAAATCATATGTAATATTATATTTTAAATTATTTTTTCAAAGGTTATAAACATTTAAAAGAAAAGTACAATGGAACATGTGGGTCAATTAATACAAGTTTGTTTTAGTTTAACGAGTCTAAAATTTGAGTCTTAAATATGCATTTATACTCAATATTTAGAATGAGCCATTCATGATAGTAGTTCTACTGATCATGGACAAAATACTAGTTATATTTACTCGAATTAAATTATATTTCTTTTTCTTTATCGGTAGAAATCACAAAGAATATAGAAATATTTGAGTAAAATTATATCTTATAATATATGGTCTATACAAACCAAAAATGAGTTTAAATAAATTGTAAATAAGTAATTCTAATTAAACATTACCATTTTTTTATCTATGTTATTGATATAAATATTTATCGACTTTATTGATAATTAATCTTCGTCAAAGAATCTGACTGATTATCATTAGTAAAATATTTTCACCCACACATATTATTTTCATACACAAAATTCAAACTTTATACCTTATTCAATAATACAAATTCTCACTTAACTATTCATAAGTTTGATTCTTTATTCAACTTAGACTTTTCATGTTTCTTATGCTAGAGAAAAACGTGATTCTTGCATCCTAAAACTTGAAAATGAAACAAAATCGCTAATGTACACATGCCTGTCGACCTTCCCTTTTTCTTCGTAGCTCTAAATATTCAACCTTCCGACCAGAACTATAATTTATTCATCCTTTTCAAAATTAATCACCACTCTCTCCTACCCATTAATTATCATGACATGAGACATTTCTCCATTACGTGATTCAAACCCCAAATCATTTCATAGAAACACTTTGAAGTAAACCTACCCACCACACCGACTCATTCTTTTCGTTGTAGTTCGGTGTTTCGTGACATGAAATCCTCTAACCCTATATTCGTCATTTTGTTCCCTTGTATTCTTTGGCTGATACCAACAAAAGCCCTTGTCAAACACTGTCTCTACTCTCATATTAGATACGATTTTCCTCCTTTTTGTACGCAGCTACTTGGCAATTGGTTTCCCCATAAAGCTGCCCTTGATAGAACTTTTGTCACAATATATAGCTCATATCCAATGTCAATTATAACTGCAAGTACTTCTATGTTTGCTTCTAATGTCCCATTTTTTTTCCTCCTCCACTTTTTCTTACCCCTCATCACTATTATTATCATCGATCACTATTATAAACTAGTTTTGCATTGTTAATACAATGGCCATAGAGTGCATGACAAATATACAATCCATGCCTCAACCACAAAAGCAGAACAAACACACAGAAGATGAAGCACCATTGGTTTTTGATGCCTCACTTTTGAGTCACGAACTCCACCTACCAAAGCAATTCATTTGGCCTGATGAGGAGAAGCCATGCTTGAATGTGCCTGAGCTTGTTATGCCCCTAATTGACTTAAGGGGGTTCCTCTCTAGTGACCCTATTGCAACAATCGAGGCTGCAAGGTTGGTTGGTGAGGCATGTCAAAAGCATGGTTTCTTCCTTGTGGTGAACCATGGAATTGATGCCAACTTGATCTCCCATGCTCATGGCTACATGGATGACTTTTTTGAGCTTCCCCTATCTCAGAAACAGAGGGCTCAGAGGAAAACAGGAGAACACTATGGCTATGCTAGTAGCTTCACTAGCAGATTCTCTTCCAAGCTTCCATGGAAAGAGACACTCTCTTTTCAATTCTCAGCTGAGGATAACTCATCCACTCTTGTGAAAGACTACTTGTGCAACACATTGGGCAAAGAGTTTGAGCAGTTTGGGTAAGTTAGTAGTAACCAAAACATGATGATGAGTTTGGTTCAATACAAGTTAGAAACATTTTTTTAAAGCTTCTTTATTGAAAATAAAATTCTTTTAGGAGAGGAATTTTCAAAAGCACTTTTAAGTTTGATATCATATGCTAAATTAAGTGTTTTTCATTGTAAAACAGGAAGGTGTACCAAGACTATTGTGATGCCATGAGTAACCTTTCTTTGGGGATAATGGAGCTTTTGGGAATGAACCTTGGAGTAGGCAAAGAATATTTTAGGGAATTATTTGAAGAGAATAACTCAATAATGAGACTCAATTACTACCCTCCTTGTCAAAAACCAGACCTCACTTTGGGCACAGGACCTCATTGTGACCCAACATCTTTGACCATTCTTCACCAGGATCAAGTGGGTGGCTTCCAAGTTTTTGTTGACAATGAGTGGCATTCCATTAGCCCAAATTCTAATGCTTTTGTTGTCAACATTGGTGACACTTTCATGGTATGTTTTTTTTGGTCTATATAACTAACTTAAAATGCACTTATCTTCAAGTTTATCTAGATATAAGTTAAAAAAAGTTGAGAATTTTTCTACTGAAAATAAAGAACTTTTTCTGATAAAAAAAACTTTTAAAAAGTACTTTTATTTTGTATCCAACCACGTTGTTTTTGTTATCAAAGATTTCTATTTTCTTGTGTGATGTTATTGATTCAACCTTGTTTGTTTCACTTTTCTATTGTGTAGGCTCTATCAAATGGGAGGTACAAGAGTTGTTTGCATAGGGCAGTGGTGAACAGCAAGACAACAAGAAAATCTCTTGCTTTCTTTTTGTGTCCAAAGGGTGATAAGGTGGTTAGTCCACCAAGTGAATTGGTGGATGAATTGACGCCAAGGGTGTACCCAGATTTTACATGGCCTATGTTTCTAGAGTTCACTCAGAAACATTACAGAGCTGACATGAAAACTCTCGAGGCATTCACTAACTGGCTTCAACAGAAAAGAAGCTGAGATTTCAAGCACATGGATATGAATCACATATTATGTATTAGCCTTTGATATAAATAGTAACAAGTCTTTGATATAAATAGTAACAAGTCTCAAGTCGAAGTGTATTGATGGCAGAAAGCACTTAAAGGGCTGCAAAAAAAAATGACACTGAGATTGAAAATTCACATTTTCTTCATAATTTGAGTGTTGCAAGCTTGTGACTAGTAATGAACAAAACAAGGGAGATAAAATATTTATAAGGAATTAGTAAGAAAATTTGCTAGCTAATTTTGTAATTTTTCTTTGGTGATATAGAAAAGTTATTATTAAATTTGTAATACTTTATATTTTTTGTTTTACGTGCATAACAACATATGATATGTGGTAAATCCAAGTAAATCTTCTTCAAGCTATTGGAGCCACTAAGAAGATACCCAAATGACTTTGTAACCGAATGCCCCCTAACTTTCAATAAGTGAGATTTATAACCTCCCTAGTTTTGAATTTCCAGAATTAATGTTTTCTGAATTGTAAGGTCGAGTTTGAGAGATTCGAAGAAAACGAAGATTAACACCTAATGAATCCAAATTAGGACTTAAAATAATTAAAACGATGATATATGTGGTGTTATCTGATGATGAACCAATAATAATGTTTTATTTATCTTGAAGGTTTTAGAAGTTGAAAGTATGGAGAGTAAAGTTAAATAGATCCAACAAAACATGTGGCCCGTAATTTGAATGATTCGGAAGCATAGGGAGCTAAAGTCCACTGAGGATTGGCTTGCATAGAGATCTCTTTTTGCAATTTATGTATTAATATTTTGCAAGCACTTGCATTTTGGTTTTATTATTCAGATTTCTCATACCTGGAAATTTGGAGGGTTGTGTAATTTAGAATGCAAGGGAATACTCACTACAATCCTCATAGCACCTCTCTTGAAATGCTACAACATTCTTTTCACCATAGTTTAATCATTTCCTTAAAAGACATAAAATAAATTCAGAAATAAAACACGGATCTCTCGAGTCCCAATATGATTACTATAGGTTTTCTAATTCAAGTATTGATTTTTGCAAAATTTGTTATCATTTCTTTTGGTTTCCACTCACAACAAAACAAGGTCTTGGGAGCAATTTGCAGTTTGAGCAGAACAAAAACCACTTGTTCACCAGTTTATTTGGATGGAGGGGCCATGGTCCCCATTTTATTTAAAATGTATCAAATTCATATTAAAAATATTTTTTCCCTAAAATATAAATTAAAAAATATTATATATTGATAGGTGAAAATTATCATGTTAGTTTATACTTAGGAAAAAAAAAGAAAAATATATATAAGATTGATATATAATGTGATAGAAAGAGAGATAGTTTTTTTTTTAATTTATCCGTTGAATTACAAAAGTTTGATGTAGAATATGATATAATGGATAATAATAAAAATATTTTAAGCATTGATTTAAATTAATAAAACAAAGTATCAAACAATTTTTAAATTTTTTTAAAACGTTGCATCTTTGATCTATGCATTAAATTTTTTAAATTAATAGATGAATAATTGAAATTTGATGTAAAACATGCTTTATTAGATGGAATAAGTTTACCAAGAATTATTCTTAGTGTAAATGAATCCCTCTATTTCTGTGTGTATGTATTGATTAGGTCTAAAAAAATTTAAAATAATTTGAATACTACATGATACTTCGTTATATAAATTTAAATTAACATATAAAATATTTTTATGATCACCTGTCAATTTAAATTAAAGAAACAAAGTATTAAATAGTTTTCAAATTTTTAAAAAATTTGTAAAATTGATTTAATATTTATTAAGAACTTTTAATTTAATAGTTGAATTACGAAAATTTGATGTAGAACATGAATTATTGAATGAAATAAGTGGATTCCTTATATATATATATATATATATATACTTGTAATAAAGAAGATATCTCCTTTTGATTACACAATTTTGAAACAATTTTATCATTATAATTTCTATATTATTTCTTATTTTACCCTTTATAATTCAAAAATTGCTTAAAACTATCAATTATTAATCATAAAATATTATTCAATCTTATTTTAATTTTATTTATTTTAAAATACACGGAGGCACATAATACCTTTTATACACTAGAATATATAAAGATTTTGAGAAAATTATGTTAATCTCTCCTAATAGATAAGAGTATTGTACTATCCCTCTCTATTATGATAAATTATACAATTTAGTCCATTTAACTCAATGTTATAACAATCCATCAGGTCATTGTACTTAAGGGTTCAACTACTAACAGTGAAAACATATAATTGCAACTACCTAAGATAAATATGAAAATAGGTGAATGGATAAACATATATAATATATGTATGAGAATATAAAGAAACCAACTTATACAATTTACAGATGTTCCCCTCAAGGAACCACATCATGTCTTGTACACACACACAACACATATAATTGACAAGTATATAGCCTAGGGTTTCTATCAAGCAACATACTACTTCAACTACATTAGAGTAGCTCAAAAGAACACCAACATCATTGCCAACATGGCCTTAGATGTACCTCCTCATACCTATTTCTACTTTGTTCCTATATCAAGTATGATCATCACAATCCAACCACGTGAAAACATGTAAGGTAAACTAGTATTCAAAAGAAATCAACATAAAAGTATGAAGTAAAACAACTATACTACCCACATAAACAATTCAACTTATTTCAACACATTACCATACATTCTTCAACTTGAATCAACACAACAATGCAACTCATCAAAATGCACATATATAAAGTGACATTCTTAATAGTCCATGATTACTCTCCTTTCTATGTACAACTCAACAAAATGTAATTATTATTTATTGTCTATTTACATAATACTATAAGATATTATATTCTCCAATAATTTTGATACTAGTAAAGAAATAACCCATCACAAAAGGCCCGTTTAGGCCCAGCCCACCATTGGCCCATCCTGCCACTAGCCCACTAAAAACAAGTCAGTTCGGTCTAACCACTAGACAAAAATAAGTTGGAAACCTTAGTCTACCTTGCCATAGGTCAGGTTGGCGGATGACTAACCAAAAAAGGGCAAAAAGATAAAAAAAAAATTGAATATTTATTTTGAGTTACTATTTCAACATATTTTTTCTTAATATCTAAAAGACCTACATAAATCAGTGTATCTAAATAATAAAAAATTCTCAAATTACAACTGATTTGATTTGCTACATAAAAAAATCTCAAACTTGTTGCATAACAAAATATATATGTAATTATAATAATATTCATAGTTCTCGTAAAATATTTATTGAACATCAAACCTCAAATTACTTATAATAAAATAAATCAAATACATAACAAATAACATATTATACACAAAATACATCTATCATGACTTAATTAAATTTACATTAAAAATAATAAATAAACATAAAAATAAAAATAAAAATAAAAAATGAACCTGTAGATTAGCCTGCCATGGCCCACTATTTGTCCTGACATATTAGGCAGAGTGGACTAGGCGATTGAATAGGTTAGGATACCTAACCTACCCATCAAATTATGACAGACCAATGGACAGACCCATAAATTATGACTCATTTTATCACCTTTAATTAAAAAAAAAAAGAAGATAATAATACTAGTATATATATATATATATATATATATATATGCAAATGAAAGTATAATTTATTCTAAAGAATTTTGTTGAGCACGGTAGCATAATACTCAATAGATTTAGAAAATTAATTTTTATTAAAATATAATTAAATAAATATTTTATTGAAAATTTATATCCTGTGATATTCTTCTTTTTCTTTACAAGATGACTTATTTATTAGGTAGAAGAAATCTAATCCCCAAGGATCCCTTTGTAAGAGGTAAGACCAAGAAGGGTGAAGGTTGATCCAAGGAGGCTCACACTTGAAGACCATTGGGCCTTTAACTAGGTCCAAGGTTAGGAGGCTAGAGGAGGCTTCTAGAGAGGAGGTGCTTCTTAGACCTATGCTCAATATGAGTATTGAGTATGATTCCTCTTTTTAGTCTCATAGTCTCTATTGTA